AATTGCTGCTAAGTGGTAGTTTTTCACGACATAAACTCAATCCAAGTGATTGGCAAAGGAACTACAGTCTGTACTTAGTGCAGTCAGGAACAAATACCACCAGGATTTAGTATGAAACTTTTAAAAAAGTCTTTACCATTTTATCCAAAAATGTGTATTTGCTAGAACTTTTATTATTTTTTATTAAAATTTAATATATACATTTCTTTAAATTAATAGAGTGAAAATATTGGCCATGTTGTGTACAACCACAACTGGCTYGTTGCCGACATTCGTTACAAGAAAATGTTGATTATGATCATAAGACGCGCTCAGAAGCCAGCCATGCTCAAAGCTACTACCTTTGTAAATATCTCAATGGGTACTTTAACTGATGTGAGTGAATATTWGAWACATACAYATATGTATATAGTATTACAGAACTAAATGATATGTGTTTCCTTTCGCAGTTACTTCAATTATCATACAAATTCTTCGCATTAATTCGCACCATGTATGCACGATAAACGCTGAATTGCTGTTGACGTATTTGAAAAAGAAATTATGAACTCAGAGCAATGTAATCTATATGAATTTATAGTTAAATCAGCACAATAATTGGTTTGTGAAGTTAATCAAAGTATTATATCATATATTTCATAAAGATTTATATTGTATAATTTTTGAAYGGCTTTCAAGTTTGAATAAAATAAATTGCATTTAAGTAATAGAAGATATGGTTTTATTTTTTACATATTTCAGTATGTTTGAAAGTGGAAAGAGAGCCTTTTGAATTCTTAAGAGAGAACCAACTTTAAATAAATGCAAAAATAATTAATTCCTTTACGGTCTACTTTCACTTTCATGCCGCTTCGGTGAACCCACTCTGTGTACTATATTTTCTGTTACTTTTCTGTTTCTACTCTAATTTTCAATGACTGTACAACACATCTGTTAGAAGACGCTACAGAAAATATTACAATAAACATAAAACAAAATATGAGCTCACATGAAAGCATGCAAATGTAATCATGTAGAGATATGCAAATACTCGTATGTGTGTAAAGTAAATCGAAATCATTGAAATTACACTAAGCGGCTTAKACATTTTTTACAAGTATTTAATTTAACATTTCAGTGCACACGTGTATGTACATAACTACATATATATGTGTGTGTAGAAAACAATTTTTTTTAAGAATTTCAAAGCACTCGCTGCTATAGTCGAAGATATGTTTTCTCTGTCATGCTTCAGTGTCTGAGGATAGGCAAATTACAAGTTGGCGCAACAATAAGGACTGAACACACTTACTGTYTAATATGTATCTACATATGTACTACATACGAGGTGTGTTCAAAAAGTATCGCGAATTTCGAAATTTCGCGGGTTACATAT